TAACCAAAGCATCAAAAAGACTACACATCTTACGAGTTCTCAAGCGCAGTGGAGTTTCACCGTTTCATTTACTACGAATACATTTTGCACTTAATAGATCCCTGCTTTAATACTGCTGTCCGGTATGGCATTCATCATTGACCATTAACTTGTCAGATAAAATTGAACGGGTCCAGAAGCGCACAATGCGAATAATCTACCCCACATTAAGCTATGACGCTGCTCTGGACCAAGCTAAATGTTCGACATTACGCGCAAGACGTGATGGTTTGTGCATAAAAACTTTTGACAAAATCAGACAGCCTGATTCACGCCTTAATCATTTAATACCACCTCGGGCCAATGGACACAATTGTAATTTAAGGTACGGAAATAGATTACCACTGTTTCCTTGTAAGACGGAGCGCTTTAAGAAAAGCTTTTTTCCTACTATGTGTATTCAATCACATAATTTATAAATTTTGTAAATTTTGTAAATTTAAAAGTTCTTTCGATATTAATTCATAGATCAGTAAACTATTGTTGTAATATAATGCCAGTAACACAATGTACTTTTTAATACTTTTAACTAAAGTTTGTAAATAATTTCGCAATTCGCTTTCATCGAGCGCGACGATTTTTATAATAAACCATTAATAATAATAATAGTCACTTAGAGCTGCAGTTGGTGAACCCAGACATCATTTATATCCCCTCACTTATTCCCCCAAATAAACTTTGGGGGGCGGGGGAGCTCCCACCCAGGTCCCAAAACCTAAAATACCCCTCCAATTTAACTTAAATAGAATACATTGTAGTGTTGGAAAAGCATTAAGAACAGCTAACCAAGTTTGATCCCAGCTTGATTTTTTTTACACGCATATGATTTATGTAAGGATAATACACGCATATAATTTATGTAAGGATACTCGACTGTCGATAGAGGAGGTATATGAAATTATGATGAGATATATCGCATATTTGATAGTTTTGGGGGGTTGGGCGGAAGAGTCCGCTTTGGCTGACTGCTGGGCACTGCAATCCGATGGCGCCCCCGGTGGGCAGAACCCTGTGTTTATACTGTGCATAGATCTATCTAACTGTCCTCCTCAGAGGTCTGTAAGGGCCGTGAAGGTAACCTGACTTCCGGAGAAAACCTATCGTGTTTCGTAGAGTTAATATGGAAGCACTTTTCTCACAAGTCGCAGAGGCGGAATTGACTAGTGAGAATGCCCGGGTATTTTTTGATTCAGTAATGCGAGCATCATTTGTTTTTTAGTCTCTGGCAGGAGAAATGAAAGATGAAACAGCTGTTTGTCTGGTGCTAGCTTTGTCAAAACACTTGCAGGAGTCAAGGCTGGCAAAATCATCTGGAGAACAATTTTGGTGAGAATTTTTCAGACACATCACATTTATTTGGTAAATGTTAAGTTATATCTCTGATATCGGAACAGTAGGTTGTATTCCTCTATTAAGCCCATCTATTAAACCCCTCTCTATTAAACACTCTCTGTTTTCAGTCCCCTCTCTATTAAGGCCCCTCTAAATTAATTCCTTCTCTCTATTAAGCCACCTCTAAAATAGGATCTCATTTTAAAACGCGCTACCTCAAAGAATTTACTTATAAGTGATAGGGAATTTTACTAAATGACCCGAATTTAATACAGCCCTATTAAATTTAATACAGTCCTATAATTTAATACAGTCCTAGAAGTTCAAGACATGGGTTTTGTGGTTGGGAAGAACTCTGCTGAACCCAGTTTGAAGTTGCACTTGTTGCACGTGAAAATCTGTGATTTGGCGTTGTAAACAGAGCGAGGACAATGACTAAATTATTCATATATTGTAATTATTCAATTGTTTTCAATGATTTATTGTATTGGTAGCCGTCGCCGTCGCGTTGCCGTCCTAAATCGTAAGGTCTCTATTGCTTCGAGAGGAACATGGTGTTTGGAAAACACAAGGAATAATATCTGTGCTTTATTACATAGGTGGAAAGTGGACGAATCCTGTATGTTAGCAGTGGGCTCTATTCAACCTCTTATCTCAGACAAGGTGTCCAAAGGCCAACTACAATTTGATATTCCAAGATTTTTAACCGAAGTTGTTTTACCAGCTCTAGATACATCAGGTGATTGCATGCCTCATTAGGTTCTTCCCATAGAAATATTAGACCTAGAATGCGTGCTCCTATCCTTTATCAGTTAAACAATTTGGACACCGGTCACATGACCAAGCAGGCATTTCAGGTTTAATATTTATATGGTTATTCCCTTCAGGAATTGAATTAGTCTGCATAATGAAACCTACACATTGTACAGTACAATAATGTATAACTTCTTTTTTACAGCATCGCCATTTCTTATTGGTCGAGCTCTGTGGTTTAGTAGTCGATTCACCCACGAAATGCCACCAGAATTATTAGCAAGGTTATATTCCTTATATTTTCTTGTAAATGTCCACCCAGTCATTATCATGGTATTACAAGAAATGTCAGTAGAGAAAGATCGCCAGTGTGGAAGTTTTTAATCGCAAGAAAACACGCTTTATTCGTTTTACACGTTTTTATTTACTCTTTGCTATTTCCTTTTCAACAAGCAAGGCCGGATTTTGGTGGAAATAGTGGGGGAGGTGGAAAACATTTAGGGGAGGTGCAGCAGTCTAGCTCACGACCCCAATGGAAAGTTAGGGCTTAGAACGGGCCAAAAGTCAACGACGTGACGTATGCGTGTAGTGTACATATGTATCAGTTTATTAATGAATTATTAATTTATTAATGGTGCCCTTCATTACAATTACTATAAAGTTTCTTAAAACATTGCATTAAAAGGTACTTGACACAGAGATATATAGGTTATCATATAAGGGATGAGGTGATATCACTTTTATCGCTCGAGAGATGATATCACAATTGTCACCAGCGAGCGCAGCGAGCGAGGGACAATTGTGATATCGTCCCGAGAGCGATAAAACTGATATCACCGAATCCCGAGTACGATAACCTATTTATTAAACTGTTTTGTTTAGAATTCAAAAAAAATCATCATTTACTGAACAATTATGATTTTAGAAAATAAATAGACCATTCATATAAATAATATGCAATTTAAGTCTTTCGTTTTGTATTATCGTTCTTGTTTCCTTCGGTAAAACTGTCGACATCAACCAACACGAACCTCGAGTCGGCCATCTTTGTTTTGACAAGGCGCGAAATTTAGCGGGACAAAAAACGATATCCGGGACAAAAACCGATATCCGGGACAAAAAAGATATCCGGGACGATATCGTTTTTATGTCCCGCTGCTTCCTACCTGATAAAGGTACAAGTATGTGATAAGAATGGCTATCACTGTTTCAATTTTACAGACAAAGAAACTTTCTTACGAAGTGTAGACCCTAAGCAACCAAAAAATGTCAAATTTTGACTTTGATCTATCAATGAAACGTTCCCAAGGCAAGGGGAGTTGCATGACTTTTCAGAAGAGGTGCAAAACGATCTCAGGGGAGGTGCGCGCCTACTCACACCTCTTTCTGCTGATTGTATAACATCATTAATAGACGTGTGATGTCAAAGCTTTGGAAAAGTTCTAAAACTAGCAATAAAAAGTTATCGACAGCGCCGAACCTAGGAATTTAAATCATTAAATATTATTATTATTAATAATTAATACAACTTTATTTCCTTTATTTTTCAATCAGGTTTCTTCAAGGTACCGTCAGTGGCTTGCATGAAAGTCAAGTTCCAGCTATTCGGATTGGAGCCGCACGTGCTACGTTTGGGTAAAATTAAATTATTTTTAAAATACCTTTGTTTCAATGGCATATGATAGGTGGGTTTCAAGTTGTTATTTTTCCACCGATGCATGTTTGATAAGGCAAACAAAAATATGTGGGTTTCCTATTTCTTCTTGTAAAAACTTAGATAGGGTAGGTCGGGTTTTTTTTTAATTTTCCTAAAAACCGGACGCCATGTCAGTTTAGTCAGTGCTTCCACAACCATAGATAAATTTCCCTAATATTGCCTCAAATTTCCATTTTCCACAAACGTTCTCCACTAAGTGGAAACACTTACAAGCATGATCCAATAAAAAAGTTTTGGTTAGGGATTTTGGCGTCCAAAAGCTAAGTAGGATCGGGAAACCGGAAACCCCCTTTTTTTTCGTAACAATTCTCTTAAACAGTACTACAATATTTTTTAGGTTCTGTGACCAGTTAAAATCAAGCGGTAACTCGGCTTTGATAAACTCTTATCTACCAGATGCACTCAACAGCTTAATCAACATGTCAACCCAATATCGAGAAGATGCCCTTTCCTTGGTTTTGGAAACTTTATCAATTGTCATCAGTGTAAGTAAGATGATACATTTTTTATTACGTTGTTATTATAGGTTTTTGTCATTATTTTTGCCCATTAGAGTTTTGTTTTTTGTATTTTTGTATATCTGCACCATAGCAAGTTTTGGGGTCAAAGTTTTCTGCCGAGCTCACTAATATTCGTCCTAATAAATTACTTTCTGCGCCTGTTAGCAGTATGCGATGCCCTATAACATCCTCAGCCAGCTATAAGCCCGGTCTGAAAATTTTCTCGGATCCTATAGACGCCAGAATCCGCTATTATTTCCTGCTATGATCTGCATGGGTGCATGAATATTCAAAGCAACCCCCACATAACCACTATTGACTCCCATCTTATACAGCTATTTCAATTAAGGTTGTCTCCGAGCAAAGCGGAAAAGTCGAATACGAGCGCGAAAGGCTGCTAGGAATCGCTAAAAAAATCATTAATTTGGATTCATTAATTCTGTGGATACATGTACCTGTGAATACATGTACTTGTGAACATATTTAAGCCCTGGCCAAACTAGGAAACATTTTTGCGGAAACATTGTTTCCTACCAATGTTTCGCCATGTTTCCCAAGGTGGGCAAACACTAGGAAACATTAGTGAGAAACATAGGGAAACATCAAATGTTTCTGAAGTTGGTAGGAAACATTTTTGCTTCCCGGGAAGCAAATTTTGTTTCCGCAACAATGTTTCCACGGGTGGGCAAACATGGAAACATTTGAGGCAACATCGAGAATCACAAATGTTTCCGCAACAATGTTTCCTAGTTTGCCCAGGGTTTTACACTACCGTTGAGAGTGCTCATGCAACTACAGCTTTGTAATAAAAATGAAGAAGATAGCCCTATTTGTGAACTGAAAGGTTATTAAACTTTGTAGGATATGGCAATAAAAATTTAGCTTGTCTCACCTAAAATTATACGGAAAACTTTTTACAGCTTCTTCAAATGTTGCTTATTGTACGTCTCGAAAAATATTTTGACCACAGTCATCATAAATCAGTGAGGTGCCCGCCATCTTGGGTTATTGTGGATATGCACGTTACATCACAAGCAGGGTCACGCAAATAGCTTACCCGGATATGAACTGGTCATTATGAGCCTTTGTCACTATTTCAAATAGCCATTTGTCTGACAACGTTTTAAGAATCTACCAATTGTTCTTTACTTGCATAAGAGTACAGTTTTAAACGGCTCGTTCTACGTGATCGTTCTGACTTGCCATCCTTCCTTTTCTCTTTCCTTTCTCTAGATGAATAAAGAGTTGACAGCTTCTTGGGAAGAAAAAATTTCTCCTTTGGTAATTGCTCTGTTCTTAAAACATGGCAATGGTACGTTTAGTACAGTATACAGTATATATTATACAAATAACGCGTGTTTTCATCCGTGCAATGGTAAGAGCATTATCATGAGGTTAAAGCACAATCGCTAAGATGTGTCAGCTCGATTTTTTCCTTATCAGTAGACAATCGGAATCGATAGAATTATTTCCGATTGTCTAAAACCGATTGTTGAGAAATTACGCACTTTAAAATTGATGTACATTGCACGTTGATACACGTTGCGTTTTAACGC